CAGTGAACTGCATCTTGATGTTGCAGTGCACCTTACCCCACTGCGCTCCTACTGCGTATCCTGCTAGTTTTCCCTTCCCTTCCTTAATTCATTCTAATCCAGTTTCAAGTCTTATAGACAGCGAACTGAAGGAGTGACTGCCAAGCAGGCACAGAGTGCATAGCGCTCTTCTGTGTCTGTGGTGTCTGTCTGGTTAGCGTCACAGCGACGTGCCAGGTAGCACCAGGCTCAGCGAGGTTGCACAGTCGCCGGACAGTGCACCTGCTGGATAGTAGTTTGACTGACGTCATAGCGACGTTAGGAAGCTAGTAAACTATCCTAACTTTCTAGGTGTGGGCCGACGCTCGGCCTCCTGTGAAGCCTCGCTTCATTCTTTTCTCTTCTCTTTACCCGCTTCGCGCTCTTTTCTCTTCGCTTTCGCCTCCGCGCTTGCTTTGAGGGGGAGAGATGACGTCCGAAAGTGGCGAGAAAGAGGCCGCCGAGAGACGCGTTGCAAAGCTAGTCGCGGAAGCGGCGGAAGCTGAGGACAGACGAAATGTCACTCAGAAGGAGCTCAGAGAACAGCTGGATGACACAGTTACATCTGCGCTTGAACGATTTGAGACAAGCTTCAAAGCCAGTATAGCAGAATCACTGGAGAGCGTAAAGAATGGTCTCAGGGATGAGTTTCATAGGTCACTCCCAGACTTCGGTATCATAAAGCAAGAAGCAGCCAATCTTAAGGAACAGGTGCACAACCTTAGTGACGGTCTTAACAGCCTCACAGCCAAGTTTCACGACCATGTGGATGACATAGAGAGTGCTGACCTGAAGAGGGACGCTGCACAAAAGACACACTTGCAGATACTTGAAGCAAAACAGAAGACCGTACTAAGTGACATTAGAGGCAAAGCCTTGAAAATAAAGGGAGAGTCAGTTGACACAGAGGACATAGTCAAAACAGTATTAGCACAGATAGAACCTAGGCTCGTCACGCTAGCATCAGGTCAACAGCAGCTTCCAAGAAGTCACGGACCCGAACTTTCAACAAACGAGTTCTATGGACAGGCGCCCAAGTTTCCTCAGCATCTACTACTAAGTGACCGTACCTCACACATACACGCTGCTATAGAGGAGGGACATTACTTCAAGGTAGGTATAAACCCTGAGCTGCAACTGTCTAAGTTCAAACAGCAAAATATCAACTTCTCCCGACTAGCGGACATTGAGAAACCATGGGAAGAGTACATTTATGGTGCAGATTACTTTCATAGATATCAGCAAGAAGCCAAGAAGATAGTTTCAATCTATGATGGAGAAAGAGACATAAGTACACATGGTGGAAGAGGCTACAGCTACGTCTACATAGGCACTCAGGCAATTCTCTTTGGGAGAACAGCTTTTGATACGCTACAAGCCAGGATGAAAGAAATCCTCAAGGAGACAATCCCTCTTGAGGATGAGTCAGTGATTCCAAAGTACTCGTGCCCAGACTGGAAGGATCCGAACAAGAATCCGAACTCATCTCGATTCATGACTCAGGAACTCCATTTGGAAAACGCAGTCAGAGCTAGTAGACTAACTCTTATTTTTTATAGGGGGAGCATGGATAGACTGAGCTCAACTAACCTCCAGTACGAGCTACTGGAAAAACATCTCGGACAGGAAGAAGTCTCAAATGGCGTATTTCAGTGGATGCAGAAAGTAATTATAGGCGCTAATGCTGTCGGCACTGACAAGGAACTGGAAGACCTCATGAATCAACTTCTAAGTCTCGACTATGATATTCTGTCAGGCGGCTGCGTACTGCATTGGGTAACCGCTCTGGAACGGATAGTCAATATCCTGCAAGACAAGATGGGACCTGATTTTGACAGAGAGAAACATATTGATATGCTGCACGCTAGGGCAATCAATTTCCACAAAAGACAGTTCACAGCCCAAAATGTTACTACACTATTGACCCAAGCTTCCAGAGAATACGGTCAATTTCTAAGCCGCATGCTAGAAGCACAAAAGGTTCTACGCAACTACAGCTCCTACATGAACACCGTCAACACACTGTCCTCCAAGGATTACCATGTTGAGACCCTGCATCTTAGGATGAAATCTTGGGACGTGTATGTAAAGCACATAAAAGAACAGGCGAATGATGTTGAATACAGTCCTGGAGCTGTTCCTGCAAATTATGAACCAGCACTAGCACAGTACCTGCCTCAGGCAGACCAGGCTCATTTAGGAGAGGACGATCTATCACCAGATCCCTATTCCACAGATTCGGATACTGATGTGGCAGCTTACGGACAGCCCTACAAGCCCGGTGCTGTTCCACAGGCGCCATCAACATACGAGGATAGAATACTCCGAGGCGGCACCAATATAAATAGAGCTAACCGTGATTACAATCGCAGACGATCTGGGGAAAGGGCAACAAGACCTCCACCAGGTCCGCGTGCCGTTCTGGCAAAACCAGGTACACCAGGTGCTCTCGGCGCAGGAAAACCAGCGCCATCCATTTCCAAAGATCAACTCCTACTCCTATATGACAAATCTCTCAAAAGTATAAGGACAATGACATATGGAAAGGCCAAAGAAAAGCTAAAGGGAATGAATTCAGATATCATCTTAAAGTACCTTGACCAAATCAACCAAATCAGTCACGAAGCACTAAGTAAGAAGTTCCAAAGTGGAAAGTATGAGGCAATGGCCGCTTGTCTGTCAGCCACCTCTAAGGTGCTTGCTGCGAACCTAAGGGAGGAACTTACCGAACGCCTCAACTTCACGCTGTCTAATGAATGCTCCAACTTCCTTGATGATGAAACACTCTGTGTATTTGCAAAGAAGAACCTTACCGAGGAGTCTGACCAAGCGTTCTTCAGTCGAGTAGCTGTCGAGCCCAGTCAGGATTTTCAACCAGGGGAGGAGTCGAATTAAGCTCCCCGACAGGTGAACCAAAAGACACATGTCTGCTTATCTCTACTGAATTGTGTCTCAAACTAGAAGCCCTCAATACTCAAAACACAGACTTCACCAGCCAAGGCTGGTATAGGAACAAGGTGCGTTGCCTCTTAATTTTAGACTCAGGCGCGACAGCACCATTTACACAAGACACCAGTCAACTAATACCCTCCACAATCAAAGAACTGAAACCACCTCGATTGGTAAAAATGGGAAGCACGACTACCCATGCCACACATTCAGGCATTGGACTAAGTTGTCTGGTTGACGAGGCCAACCAAGGAACAGGTATAGTACAAGCTATTCAGTGGTTTGTTGTGCCAAAGTTCTATCAAGGCCTCCAACTGATGGGGATGGACAGTTACGAGCAGGCCAACTGGACACTCACGTTCCAGAAGGACACCAGATTCATGTACAGGGACGTACCGAAACTAAAATCTGTATCGATAACTGATGTCTCAAACCCATCCAGAATGAAAGGGTTAACTAATTGGGTAAGGATACGAAGACAAAGGAACGGACTCAAAACCATTCCGACCTCGAGTCCTAATGACTTTAATCGCCTAATCGATCTAAAGACAGGCGTTGAAATACCCAGAACAGCTCTTCAACAGGAAAGGCATGTACTCAAATACTGCCAGGTCCTTGCAAGAGCAGGAAGTTCAGCACTGCTATGCATGGGTGCAATCGGACAACAGGCAGACGATCAGCCAGAGGAACCGCGCTCAGATAAAGGCATTGCTAAGGCGCCAGATCCTGCACCTACCGATGGACAAGATCGCGATGCAGTCGCTGAACTTAGCAAAGAGCAAACAATAGTCCGCGTTTGTCTTATCGGTCCAGGCCTGTGCACTGAAGGCACAGACGGGTTCAAGGATATGCCCGTCAAAATCGTCTCATTCATCGAGGTAGGGAAGAACTTTGAACATGCTAAGGAAACCTTTCCAAATGCACAAGCACTGAATGACATACGCAAGGTTAACGAGGACATTGAACAGGACAAACTGAACATAGTGGAGTTCGATCTACTAGTGTGCTCATTCCCTTGCTATAAAAACACTCAGTTGCGCGACGAAAACGGTGGGAACTATCACCCCTCAGGAGATCTCTTCGCGGAGGAACAAATGAAGTTTATCAGTTTGGTCAGACCCAAACACGTGCTTAATGAGATGACCCCAACAAGAGTCGACTACTACCAGGAACACGACGCTGTTATAAAAGAGTTCAGGGCGATGAACTACTTTGTTGAGACTGATCAGGTTGACTGCTGCACCCTTGGCGATCTCCAATCGAGATTCAGATGGTTCGCACTTGCGAGTACAAGCCCCATCAAATCGTTTGACGTGTGCAAGGACAGTGGTATGTCCTGCTTCCCGAAAGGACTGAGTCAAATATTGCAGGATGAGGATACCATTCCTGAAAGCCTGTATGTGTTTGACACTCCTGTGCAACATGCTCCCGATCTCGTTCAAACTCTCTTTAACGCATGGAAAACATCAAAGACCAACATGCTCAGCATTCTCCCTCACGAAAATGCTCTTGCCTGTGTGTTGCTTGCGTGGGTGTTCGCCAAGAAGCACAAAGAGCTGTCTCCAGCGACGATAGTGCGGAAGACAATAACGGTTGGTTGCCATGGACCTCAACCGTACAGGTATCAAGGTCTTAAGAACCCGTCACTAGCGTTTGTGTTCACTCTGCTGGCACGCGAAATGCGACATAGGCAGAGACATGAAACCATGTTTGAGATCAAAGTCACATTCCTGCGCCCCGCACAAGGTGATGTGTACTTTGGGACAGAGCGTGATGGTCGCTTCATGTACTTTAGCTGCGTGCCAAAGGCTTCTCCTCCCGGGCCTCGCCCGGCAGACGTTGTGGCTTTCCTCAACGTTGCCTCGCCAGGCTCATGCATTTTGGCATCAGGGGGAGTGAGATATGTAGATACCAGAAATGCACTTCGGTCAAAGATAAGAGCCACACTTTGCCACTCCTACGGCAGGTTCAAAACAAATGACCCTGAACTACGGAACAGGAAAGGCACGACAGCCTACAGGATCTCAGGGCCTGCCCCCACTATCACATCGGATTTCAACATGCTTATCGATGTGTCGAGTAGGTGCAGTCCAGAGTCTCCCGAGTACAAACATGTGCACAGATACATGACAATAAAGGAGGGATCCAGAGCCACAAGTCTCACTCCAGACGCGGAGAGCAGGCTTGAATCCCTGGACGAAGCTGAAGCGTATAAGCTACTAGGTAATGCCATTCCCCGATTCACTCTCATAGCCGTCTACATGTGCGCACACAAGCACATCACTGGCTTAGCAAGGCAGAACTCAGACAACAAGGACACAGCGTTAGACACCGCAGTATTGGACGCAACCACATTGGATCCCAAGCGGAAGTACACACTAAAACCCTCAAAGGCTCTATGGAGGAAGTGTCCTCACCCTACAAGTGAGGAATACGCTCAGGCTAAGCTAAAAGTTGATTGGTATCACACTATCACACACAGAAGCTGGGAACTGATCGAGAATGACATCCTCATCAATGAGTCACTAGGTTTGCAACCAGGAGACACTCGAATGATGTCACCGTGCCCCATCTGTGAGGCCAACAAGGGTCAAATCCCAGTCATTCATCACAGCCCATCTTGGCATGAAAATGAAATGGGATATACGCCGTTGCAGGCTCTCATGATAGACATATGGGACAGCCCTGTCAAATCGATGCTAGACGGATTCACCTACATACTGGTATGCGTTTGCATAAGAAGCGGTCTGGTAATAGACATAGGCATGAAGAGACTTAACGCCGATCACTTCATCAACGCCATCGTTCAGGTCTACAACCAGATAAAGCTTGAGTACGGTATAACACTCAAGCTACTAGTCACAGACTCATTCTCAACGTTCAAGGATGGTGACAAAGTCTTACAGATGAAGCTGCGGTTAAACATCGAGATCGAACCATTACCCCCGTATTTACATAACTACAATTACGCCGAGAACTATATAAAGATCCTTCGTAATGGGGCGGTGGTACGGATACAGCAGCTGGCTGGATTGAACGTGCTTGGAAAGCCAATTGTACCAGAACAGTTCCTTCCAGAAGCATTCAGACACATGGCATGCTCGTTAAACCAAAGTTCCAGTTCCTCCATACTGCGAAAATATGGAATCAGGACAACCCCTCGGCAACTGTGCAGTGAGTCTGGTGGAAAGGTACTTAGGGACCTACCACTGTACCCATTCGGATGCAAGGTAGACTTTGTGAACAATGTGTCTAAACTTAAGACTACAGGAAGAGGAGAGGACAGAGACATCATGAACAAGTCAAAGTTAAAGACCACTCCAGCTATTTACTTGCACCCTGCAAACTATCACCATGAACGGTTTTCTGAACTAAAGAGCACGTCCCTGTCAGTTCTGATGCTCGTAACAAATGGGAAACCCGTCACCACAACAAACTTCAGACCAACAAGCCTGTCTAAACAAAACCAGATATACCTGAAGTCTCAAATGACAGACCCAAACCAGGCAAACCCGTTCATACCCAAAGAACCGGACAGGACAATCCCCAGCTCTAAGCCTAACGTCGTCTTGGTACCAGGCAGCGATAGCCGCAAGGAACAACCAAAGCCAGCCGCCACATCTCAAAGGCAGGCTACACCGGTTCCTTCGACACCTCCTCCCGAACCTGACGGACAGCTGGTACTACAAGACTCCAGGAGCAACGTTCCCTCTACACCGATACTCACAACCACACCACAGTCTAGCAGAGAACTTGTGCTACGAGACGCTAGTGACAAGGATCCATATTCACCTATGTCTCAACTCGATCGTGATATAAACGACCAACTGTCTGGTCTCCTAAGGCGAGTATCCACGGACAGAGGCTCACCAAGAGACTTGTGGCCAGACTCACCAACAGTGATACCATCTCCTTCCTCCACTACTCAGGAACCTCCATTCACATCTTCTAGTCCCAAGGTCGGTCCCCAAAAGTTCAGGAAACCCAAAGTAGGCGACCTAATACGCATTAGAAGCAAAGATGGCGAATGGATGGGAACTCCCCCATTCAAAATCATGAGAGGAAAAACCAAGCCTCAGCTCTCTGATTCTACTCCAGGAGCTACAGTCCAGGCCAGCGATATCCGAGTTATAAGATGGGATCCAGAAACAAAGGAAGACAGACAGTTTGACCTTAGAGAGAAACAATTCGGACCATCGTCAGATCCAAAAGCAGTCTGGCATTTCGCAAATCCAGATGGATCAGAAGCAACATCCGAAGCTCCAGCTGAATCTGTTACCATCACTCAGGTGCAGGACATGCAACCAGACGAGCACACTCCTAATGACACTTACGTCTCCTTCTTCACCAGCGCAGGATGCCCCACCAATGATTACTCTGAGGCTGCGCGGCGGATTACCACCCAGTGTGTCCCAGGGTACCGCGACAAGTTTCAACTACTAGGCATGATGGAAGCATCCCAACAATTGTCCGATCTCATGGTCGAACATATCGCTGACATACCATGTCCGAAGGAAGAAATCATTGCAGAAAGGATGCTACAAGCTATTTTAAATGTAAATGATCGTTGCACACTTAGGCGCACAAAGGATCGACCAAGGCGTTTCATCAAATGTAACTCGCCCAACAATATTGATCGAGCCTTAACTCCAAAGGAATATGTAGAACTAGGAGGCACCAGAAGCCAACTCCTGTATGAAGTGAGGAACAAGACAGTCGAGGTAGGTCACCCAGACGTTCAAGGTAAGTTTTGGATGAACAGCATGATAGACGGACATAGCAACCTTGACACCGCGTTCCTCAGCTCAACTGACCTTCAGTCCTCCCAAGCCTGGGACAGAGCGGAATCTATTCTCGCCGCGGCAGACTCTGCTCACCAATTGTGGGATGTAGCCCTGGTAGGCGTCTACGACTTGATAGGGAATTATCCCACTATTGTCACCCAGTCAGGTGACTCACTTGATCACCTGTTCTCCAGTCATTTCAGTGAAGAACACGAGGAGAATGTTGAAAAGGTCCTAAATTACTGCCTTGACAACCATTCCCAGGTTCTAATAGCACTACAGATGGTAATAGAAAAGGAAACAACCAGTCAGGGTGTAACGATCAAAGAAGACGACATCGTGCTGGATGAAGAGTCCATTCTAGAACTTAAGTCAGAGCCTCTAGAACATAAGAGGGAATATCTAAAGGCCATCATGAAGGAATTCGCTGACCTGTGCAGGAACGAGTGCTTCAGTTTGGAGGTAATCCCTGAAGAACGTTCTCCAATCAGCACCAAGATTGTGCTTAAGATCAAGCGAAAGGGAGATGGCTCCTTCGACAAGTACAAGGCAAGGTGTGTAGTGCGCGGCTTCCTCGCCACAATAGGATTGGATTTCTATGCTACTTACAGTCCAGCATCATCCATGACGACAGCACGCACTCTCATGGCCTTGGCGGTTCACCATGGACTACCAATACATCACAGCGACATTGCTCAGGCATTCATACAGACTACCCTGGATAGACCTATCTACATCAACTTCCCGAAAGGAGTTGACATTCGAGCAGACCTGATCAACAAAGTGCAGGAGCAGTTCCCGAACTCCAAACTGGGCATAAGACTACTTAGATCACTCTATGGATTAAAACAGGCACCAATGCTCTGGAACAAGAAACTCAACTCAGTACTTCTTGAGGCCAAGTTTGTCAGAAGTAAGAATGACACGAGTCTCTACGTCTACGAGTCTCAAGGAAAGTGGGTCGCGTGCGCAGTGTTCGTCGATGACATCCTTGTTACCGGCACCGACACTCGCAAGATCACTGAGCTCAAGGCTTTGTTCAAGGCCAAGTTCCGTGGAGAACATCAATGGGATGAGAACATCAACTCATTCCTAGGAATGGCAGTCTACTATGACATCATGACAGGAATCCTAACCATGGACGTCAAAGCCAAGATCGATGACATGTTTGACAAATTCCCATTCTTAGGAGACACTAAGCTAGATAGCCGCTCTCAAAATTCACCGCACTCCGCGCTCCTGGACGACCTACCAGAGCCAGACGATGACAAACTGACGAAGTACCAAGAACTGCTGAAAGAATACTTTCCCAGAATTGTTGGCTCATGCATCTATCTGTCCATCACGTGCAGACCTGATATTTCTACTATTACGTCCAAAGCGTGCAAGGGAATGCATGGACCCAAGAAGGTGCACATACTGTACTTACAGATGCTAATTCGGTATCTGAAAGGACACCGTGACCTGGCACTTACTTACACCAAGCAGGGGAGTGGTGCTTCACTACTATTCGCTTTGAGCGAAACCTATCCCGAACTTACCCATTTGCCTTCCAGCCCAGTGGTAGGCTTCTCTGATGCCGACTGGCTCCCTAAGGCTCAGGATGGAGAGTCAATGAAGAGTACTTCAGGTCTCTGTTTCTATTGTTTTGGAAACTTAGTACAATGGTCTTCCAAACGTCAGACAATCACTGCAGGGAGCACAATGCAAGCCGAACTCATAGCTGCCTCAAGTGGAGCGGATAGTGGAGTCTGGTACTACACTCTGCAAGTGGACTTCCCAATCCTCTTTGGTATTCAAGAGGCGCAAGCAGTGCCATTACTCATTGATAACAAAGCTGCCCTTAGTGTAGCGAACCACCCTGAATCGTCTCCTAGAACAAGACATATCTGTCTCAGAGAATTCCGCATCAGGGATTTTCACGAAGCAGGTCAAATTAGACCATATTGGTGCCCCGGCACCCATAACGTGGCCGACATGTTTACAAAAATTTTACCTAAACTTCTGTACCACAGATTCCTCGCAGTCATGGGGATGACTGGCTCAAACCTTATACACTCACCTTTTCCAGCCTTAAATGCATTACTAGCACCCCAATACGAAGACGACATCGTTAAGGAATGCATCTGCGAAAAGGTCGACCCAGATGAAGAGAAAAGTATTTACAAGTGGATGACGTCCCACAGCTTTGACTCACAAGTAGCCACCGCCCTATGGACACAATATAATGCCGGCGCAGACTCTGGATGGTTTGCAGAAAACTTACTAGTCCATCACTCTGTCTCACTTCTGAATCCTCAACCAAGCAATGAGAATCAAGACGGACCCAGCGCTTCAGTGAAGTCCAAACTGACTGTTGCCCGGACTCTCTATAGACAAGAGATGGCTAGAAGAGCTACTAGATTGGTGCAAGATCATCGCAGGCGTGGACTCTCTCCACCCGTTCCATACTGTCAACCTACATCTAACATAACCTCACCGTTTGTACTAACCGATCATAAGTACGCTTCCTTGGCTACTTGTATCGAATGTGTCATGTTGAGCATAGTATTTCTTTGGGTCATGAGCAATCCCCAAAGTAATCACACTGGTTGAGTGTATCAATCTTTTAACTCACACATATCAAGGAAGGTCTTCTGAAGAACGTGTACTTAGCAGATACTCGATTCCCATCTACTTCATTCGCTTAATTGACTCCATTCATGATGAAGCTGAAGTCCACTATCATTTGGGATTTACACGGAGTTTCAATCCAGGGGGAGTAGAGAGATAGAGAGATTTCTATCTTCATCTTCAGTGAACAGTGAACTGCATCTTGATGTTGCAGTGCACCTTACCCCACTGCGCTCCTACTGCGTATCCTGCTAGTTTTCCCTTCCCTTCCTTAATTCATTCTAATCCAGTTTCGAGTCTTATAGACAGCGAACTGAAGGAGTGACTGCCAAGCAGGCACAGAGTGCATAGCGCTCTTCTGTGTCTGTGGTGTCTGTCTGGTTAGCGTCACAGCGACGTGCCAGGTAGCACCAGGCTCAGCGAGGTTGCACAGTCGCCGGACAGTGCACCTGCTGGATAGTAGTTTGACTGACGTCATAGCGACGTTAGGAAGCTAGTAAACTATCCTAACTTTCTAGATACAAAACTCTCTATCTCTCTACTCCCCCTGGATCGTAAGCCAATAATGAAGATCCATGTAGAGCATTTTTGTACCAGAGCCTTCAAGCATATAGGACATGATATAAGATTGCACCGCAAGCTAACAATTCTACTACACGAGACAGGCGCGACCAGTCTGCAGATGGGGCGTTAGGTGTTGCAAACGAAGGGTCTACATCAACTATAGTCTGACAGGAAGGAACAGGTGGTGACAGTCCACGGCGGTGGTGATCCTGCACCAGCCTGGTAGCTCTCTTTGCCATTCCCTGCTTGTAAAGCAATTTAGCAACACTCAACTTAGCACGAGAGGACGGGGAAGAGTTGTCAGAGCCATGGTGTTCGAGGATGTTTGTGTTTACAGGACCATCGCCACAGAGATTGTACTCCTGCGGATTCAAAAATGAAGTGGAATGTAATGATACAAAATTTTTACAATAATTGTCAGGCAATTGACCGCTCGAGGCATTCCAGTAGTCCCAGGTGTACACAGCCTGAGGGGACTCGAAGTCTAGTGACTTCCGCAACTCAAATATTATGTCCTCGTCGATGTGTGAATTGTGAGACACCACCCACTCACTAAGCAGTCCTTCTGACATAAAGGACCTGTGTGTCCCCTGTAGTGATGGGTAGTCTGAATGCAATCGATTTGAACCTTCCATTCCCATTACATCCAAGTATCTATGAAACAATGTTTTATGTACTAACTTCGTAAATACGTCTGCAACATTATGGGTGCCAGGGCACCAGTATGGCCGTACCTGCTTGGCCTCGTGCATATCTCTTATACGGAATTCTCTCAGACAGATATGCCTTGTTCTGGGTGAGGATTCAGGATGGTTTGCGACGCTTAATGCAGCTTTATTGTCAATCATGATAGGGATAGCTGGAATATCTTGGCTCAAACCGAATAAAAATGGAAAATCGCACTGTAGAGTATGATACCACACGGCACTGTCAGCGGCCGAGGACGCGGCAATCAGCTCGGCTTGCATTGTACTGGCTGCCGTAATAGTTTGACGCTTTGAGTTCCACTGCACTAAACTACCAAATACATAGAAACAGTGTCCGGAGGTGCTTTTCATTTGCTCTCCATCTGAGGCCTTGGGCAGCCAATCGGCATCAGAGAAACCCACTACTGGGCTACTAGGGACATCATTCATTTCCGGAAAGGCAGCGGCCAGGGAACCAATATGACTAATGGCTTTGCTATTCTTGCGATACACAAGACTGAGGTCCCTGTGCTCCTTAAGGTATTGAATCATGGCCTGTAAATAAAGTATGTGAATTTTCTTTGGCCCATGCATGCCTTTGCATGCTTTGGACACAATGGTGGAGAGATCAGGCCTGCAGGTGATGGAGAAGTAGATGCAGGATCCCACTATGCTAGCGAAGTTTTCCTTCAGCTGCAGTTGATAGTCCGACAGTTCGTCATCATCTAAACTCGGAGGGTTGTCGATTTCAGATGAAGAGGTTGATTGAGACCAACGATTGCTGCTAGCTAGGAAAGGATACTTCTTAAACAAGTCATCAATCTTGGCCTTGACGTTCATAGAGAGTACACCGTCAGTATACGAGATATCCATGCCCAGGAAGGAGTTAATGTTCTCATCCCATTGATGCTCTCCTTTGAATTTCTCTTGGAACAGTTTCCGCAGCTCCGCTATTTTGCTGACGTCAGTCCCCGTCACCAAGATGTCATCAACAAATACGGCACACGCAACCCATTTACCTTCATGATGATGTATGTAGAGACTGGTATCATTCTTGCTGCGAATGAAGCCAGCTTCTAGTAAGACTGAATTCAAAAGTTTATTCCATAACATAGGTGCCTGTTTAAGGCCATACAGGGATCTGAGCAATCGGATTCCCAGCTTGGAGTCTGGAAACTTGTCCTGTATGCTTTTCAGCAAGTCAGACCTAATGTCTACACCTTTTAGGAAAGGAGATGAAAATTGGTCTATCAAGTTTGGTTTGGATAGGTAGATGATTGGTTTCATTTTCATGCCACCTGTCACTGTGTTTGGGAATTCGGATTTGACTCTGGTTTGCTTCACAGTCTGCACAGGGACTCATCATTCGGCTGTCGCCTGGTTTTAGATCGAAACCTAGTGTGGTGCCTGCTTCAATGTCGCTTTCTATCTGTTGCCAGGATCTGTGTGTTGTCTTGTGGTAAAGGTCCACTGCGAACTTGGAATCGGCATATTCCTTAGACGTTGGGGATGGACATGGGCGCCATCCTGAAGTAGGCGCTTTGGGTGCATGCTTCTTCTTGCGGTGTTTCCTGCTGTCTGAGATGTTATCCCTTACGTCAGAAGAAGATAGTTCAGTATGAGCACCCAAACACATCAGTGGTCGAGCATGTATATGTAGGAAAGCGGACAGACTGTGTGTTGACATGTCACCTCCGAGTATGTGTGTACATACGGTGAGGTACACTGCTGTGAGCATAAACCTAGGAATTGCATTTGAAATCATTTTCCTGGCAGTCTCTTCATCCATCGACTGTAGGCGTTGTAGACAATCGGGAGTAAACGATGATGCCCTGGCAGCCTCCACTGTGGTGAAATATCTATGGACAGGCGCGTTAGGGCTTTCATGCCTGTGAGTGACATCAATGATTACATTCATGTCACTGGTGATGGTGGGTGCCGGACCAGATGTGAGATAACCTGTAGTACCCTTCTTCTTGTTTAAGTACGGATCGCCAGTGTGAAAACGGCTATGGCTATGACAAAGAGTTGCCCTGACATGTGAACGCAGGTAGTTCATAGCATCCTCAAATAGGATTTCTCCCCCGGGTGCAAGGCGCGCGCTCCGCGGCCTTGCATTCATTGCGTCGACTACCTGCTGGCGAGAGACAGAAGACGAAGAGTGGGAGAGGCTACAGGTGAAGTATATTCCCTGATCGCCAGTACGGGCGCCAAAATAAATATCGCATTGGGGAGGGTCGCGCTGATACAGCAGCTGGAAGCTGCAGCGAAGCGACACAGAGGCCCCGGGGAATTGGCGCAGTAATAATGAGTAGATATACGCTACATGCTTACGGTGGCTCTACTGATGTAAGGCGGTTATCGCACGGAAGAATTGCTTATGGATAAAGAGAACATCTTTTATCAGAAAGGTCTTGACAAAATGTTCTTTCTTTTTACTGCGCGATGTTACCTTTTGCCAGTGGAGGCTTTACCGGTGGTAAATTCCCTTAAGATAAGATGCTTGATTATGCTACTTCAATATATCCCCGGACTTCCTTCGGTGCTTATCAGTGACGGGCTTCTGACCGTTTAGGGCAAGCACACAGGCTTCCAGGAGCTTGTACGCAGGTTTCCTGCGATAACCTTGGGAAGTTGAGGAATTCGTGCAGGCAAGTTCGGGAATCCCCGGAGCGGCGTGCAAGGCCAGAAAGGCGCAGCACGTGCCTCGTAGACAACCATAGCAAGTTGCCTCCAATGAAGTCCAAGTTGGACTAATGTGGATCAAAACCTGACGGCTTTTGTAACTTCACATTATTGCAAAGTAGCAGTTTAGTATCCATTGAGCCAAGCACTAATCGCATTATTGACGAATCTAGGTGACTTAACATGCATCCAGTGGTCGGAGTCTACTTCGACAACTCGGCCGTGCGGGGTAGAGCGCACAAAGTCGAGCCAATGCGGACCGAAAAAAATGGTATTAGCTTGGCGCGGCTCGCCTCGGGTCATGTTCCCCCAAAGGAAGAGGAGTGGGACACTTGCAGGTGGATACGGATGTTGAATGAAGCCTCGGTAAGATAAATTATATTCGTAAGGCCAAGAAGTCCTCCATGTGGCTCTGAGCGGTGCTGGTGCCTCCCAGTAAATTGCTGAACCAACACTCTTGCTGTCGTTTTTCTGTTGCCACGCCTCTCGATTTTGTTCTTGGTAAGTCAAGTTAAGTTTCCAACTTTCGGAAGAGACTGTACTGCCAACATCAAACGATATGATTTGCCTGGCAACTGCAGGATAACGATGAAGCATCTCATACCCGATTACAGAGCCCCAGTCATGGACAACAAGTGTTGGGTCCACAAGATGAGCCTCTAGCATCGTCTGGTGGATTTCAATGAGTTGCTGGGTAATTTTCAACTCCTTATCAGGATCTGCATCAGGAAAGTCAGGGTGAAAATTGGCCAAAGTCACAGCCACACAGTAAAATGAACCATTGAAACAAAAATGTGCAAATTGTGCAGCCCACATCGCAGCGTTGTCTGGCCATCCATGGATGAAAAAAAGTGCTTTGGCTCCAGGCTCCCCGAGCTCAAGCGTCGGCAGCGTCCGTGTCTCATTGGAAACGACCTTGGCTTTGACATCGGAGCAATCTGGGTATCGCGGTTCACTTGAAGCAGGGTTTCGATAATAATACTGACAAAAGTCGACTTCAAGGAGCGAGTCCTCATGCGCATAGACCGCACACAGATGCAAGCCTAGAGTCAATAAAATGTTCTTCCTCCTACACATCCGGAACGAATAGCTGTCTTGTGTTCGCTGGCATCTGTTGCTCCAGAGGTGAAGTATTGTTGTTTGATAGGGGGCAGTTAGGATGACTCGGAGTCCGGTTAGGGCCTACCCCACCGCCCTAGCTACCTAGAAAAGATAGGACAACGATTTTAGTCAATTTTTTTTCGCGATATGAAGACGGATCCATGAAGCTGTCGCAGTCAGGATTCATATAGTGGAGACGTCCAGCCAAGACATGGACAGGACATAGGGACAATCATCATCCAAGACAACGCAACGCGTCTATCGGAAAACCTGCAAACCGAACGGATCACCGAGCCACAACACAAACTTTACCAGTAGATACGAAAAAGAAAAAGGATATACCGTGTTAGAATCCGAGTATGCTAGTATGAAGCACCAGCATAGTATAGCACGAGCATAGCCAGTATAAGGCAGACTTAGCATAGCCAGCATAGGCCAGTATGAACGTCCCAGCATAGGGGGGATAGCCCGAGTATGCTAGTTTAAAGCACCAGCATAGTATCTTTTCGAACTAATCCTTACAAAACTTACCATCTCCTATGCGCCAAACGCTCTCCGTAGCGCGAAAATGCCTGACTGCAAGTCAGGTAAAACTCCCCGGTTGGGGGAACGTTGGGGGAACCTCTCTGAGCATGGTGGTCCAACGATCACTGACGCGTTGGGCATGTTCTGCCTGATGGGGGGAGAAAATGAGAGCACTTTGCCGTTGGAACTCGGGGTCGGAGGCCTAACTTCAGTCCGTGTCGCGGGGGAACACGCAGAAGCCGAGATCCCTCCTGCTCGCCCCCTCAGCGCCGCACCGTGACGACGCGCCCACCGTGGCAGGGATACGCCAGGACCACTTGGATACGGTGCCAAGTTTTGTAAGGATTAGTTCGTTAAGATGGCATGAGCATAGCCAGTATAAGGCAGAATTAGCATAGCCAGCATAGGCCAATATGAACGTCCCAGCATAGGGAGGATAGCATAGTCCCGAGTTAGGGTAGCATAGCCCAAGGAGCGGCATGTAGGCTCGCTAGGTGGCTGGCTCATCGCCAAGCGCACTTTGGTTTTCTTAATCACACTCGCGTTCTGACCTCGATAGTCGCCATTCTTCAGACCAGTGTGTTACCCATACTAAAATCCGACACTTACTACCCAATATTTTTTGCTTCAATTGTAGCGTTTGCTCTGATATGCGCAAATGATATATTGTTAATATAAATTCTACGCTTATCATCCCAAATAGCGCAGGCGCTATAGCGATAGCGCAATCTCCTTAGGGTGCTACCTTCAGAGTTTCCTTGGCTGAGGTACTAAACCACTCTCCGAAAACGGTGCCTCCGACAACCAGGAGACGGCACTCGCCGGCGTCTGTCGACGG